CGAAAAGAAACTGTTTGAATCGTACGACGACTCCGCACACACTCCCAAATACTGGATTCCTGCTAACTGGGCCCTTTCCATGACTTATGAAGCATGGAAACATGGTCATATCGAAAGTGCATACTATAAAGTCACCCTACAAGAGGTAATCTATTACGAACTAAAAGGTAGTCCTAAATTAACGGAGATATCAGAACAGTTTTTAAGGAAATCAAAAAGTGGCGTACAAATATGGAATGGGTCTTCAATTACGACTGGGTACCTTTACCATTGATATATCCACAGGTTCGGCTGCCCAATACGCGTGGATTTTTGCACAATTTCGATTTCGTAGCAGGAAAATATTTAGGTTGTTTGTCTAGCTGTACATTTTTACTTCCTCGTCTGTATACTTGCACGTCAGCAAATTGTCACCGAACATGAACTTAGCACCGAGGTAAAGGCTTACGCTCATTTCAGAAAGTTTTAATTAGAAATGTTGTATGACAGTTTTGGATAACTTTTTAGGTGGATACCTATTTCCCGATTATGACCGCACTACAATTCATATTCTATATGGGATGGATGAAAGTAATCGAAGCTGTGATCAATCCCTTCGGAGAAGACGATGACGACTTTGAAACTAATGCTCTCATAGATCGAAATATCACGGTAACTTTACTGAACTCGTAAGCCCCTGCTCCGTCCATCTAGTGAAAGCCCAAGCCAGTTTATATGCCATCCCCTCTGGTCCATTACAAGTTCGAAGAACCAGTACCTTACAAAGGGTGTGGACAGTAACTTTTACTATACAGTCGGCTCTCAGGGTCCCAAGACCGAAACATCCGCCACCAAGCATACTAAAAATTGACTCAGCTATTCAGATGGGCATGATGATAGTCGATCAAGGTTACGATCGTCCACCTGAACTACGACGTGATCCCTTTTGGGACGAAGTTCAACCGCTTTATTCTGAAGAATCGTCACGTATACCGAATCATCTACCGCGAGGATCAGTCAGTCACGTCAAGTAAGAGTCTTTCTCTGAAACGCCTAGAAACCATTTCCAGCGGAGGAGACAGCTTTTTTCAGACTGGCTAGTTCCGTATCTGAGGTAGTTATGATGCCACACTCCCGAGCAGAATTTCAGAGCACACCAGCATTTCCCACAGCCGGTTCAATACGTAAAAGTAAAAACGTGAAAATAAAAGAGTGAGTGACCTCGCCCATCCAAGAGGAAAGCTAACGAAAAATTTGACAAAAACTTGGAATCACTCCAAAACTTCTTGTTTGAGCGATGAACGCGACACGCCCCAACAGTATGGAGAAAACAGGATATTTAGACGCATGGTAACCGACTTCAAAAGGTATGGTCTGGTATTTCGCTTTTGAACCCTTCACATCCGAAGATTCCACTTCAAAACTGGCTATTATTATGTGATCAACACCTCAAATCTCACTGCAGAAATCATTCATTTACAGGGTCTTCAACTACATCTCCCCATTGACCTCTCATCGCTCTCTGATTCTAAACAAGAGTAAAGAAGAAGAAAAACTTCCGGTCAAGACAGTCAGAATCAGCAGCACCGAGCCAGCGCCACAGCACAAACCAACCCTGGACGCTGATATTCGTCCTATCAGTATCGCTATACCGACTGAGTCACCCATGTGCAACGAAAAGTATGTGGAATGATAAAATTTAATTATGAGTGCATAGGTATCCAATATCAACCTCCTGCAACTGTAAAGGTAAAGAAAGATTACTATAGAATGGCTTGTGTTGATTACAATTTACTCGATACCTCTTTTGAAGTGAAAGATGCTTTAACTTGCAGTATTCGTGAGTCTAAAAACCGATAAAACCCCTTTATTCTAATTCTGACTTGAAGGTATTGTAAGATTGAAGCCTTTTAACTCCCTGCCCAGAGCAACTTTTCACTGAAGGCCATAAAAAACAACATCCACAACACCTCTCGTATAAAAGAAGCTCACCAACCTCTTGGTTAACTGGTCTATACAAATCTAGGAGTGCATGTGATCCCATAGTGACGTTTGAGACAAGGCGGAAAAAGGCTGGCCCATCTGTGTGTGGCATTATTCCTTGCCCAGGGATATACTGAAATCGTATACCCAGTCAAATGCAGCGACGGGTGATTCTTCCACATCTTACCTCATTGACTAGAACATGATTTGATGGATTCGGGAAAACACCCAAGCTGTCTATCTTCTTCATGAGATAGCTGAGCTCCTGAATAGTTCCCGTATGTATCACTTGTTAGCGTTATATCTTTAAAAATCAAAAATGACGCTCACTAAAGGAATATCATCCGCCGGTATTAGTGCCTTCTTTCCCACGACGCCACCATAGTTCTGTAGCCGACGATTCAAGAGAACGGTCCATTTTGGTTGTGGAGCATTTACGATGCATGAGGTGATGACCTCTTCTTCTTCTGGTGTTATAAAGTTTGGAATGTAATAAAGAGAAGGTGGAGCCTGAACAACTCTCTAGAGCTTATACCCGAAACTGGCCCTGATATCTCCTAGAAAAAACCTTTCCATACCCACTTTCGCCACTAAGTACTTGGAAATCGCTTCTCGATCTTCCATTGTTCCTGTAACGATTCCCTGTGATACCGTCAACAGGATCGAAAAGTTCCTCAGATGCACAAGCTTTGAAGATATTCTACGAACACTACTTCGACATCATCACGCTATAATCGGTGTCATTATGTTTATTCACAGGATTACTAACACAACGACGTATGTACAACACGATGCATGAACTCGGATCAAGACCAATTATTCCCAAACGAACAAACAACTTGAATTTACTCAATTCACAGTTAGATGTACCAAAAAACGACGTAAGAACAAGTCGCTAAACTGTTGAAAGACAAACAAAGTAAGAATTGAACTTATAATTAACATAAAAAANAAAAAATGACCCATTCAAGTCACAAGTAGCTTCCATAACCTCAAAAGGTGCGAATACAGCGAAGAGGTACAACCACCATCCATCGTAGCTACTTAACTTTGAAACACCGTGTTGACCGACATCAAATCGATCGTTTACAGAAATGAACAAAATTTGTAAGATGCAAAGGGTTGTCGGAATAAATAGCTCGTGGAAATAGTGGGAAAGTTTTCCAAGAACAAGGATCAATGAGCGAGATCAAAAAAGATGAATCCAAAATTAATAACGAAAGCTCAGTGAAAAAATATATAAATTAGAACAAGAATGTGGGTACACAACAAAAATCAAAATCAAAAAATATAAATACGAAAACGTCATAATACAGGAAATGTGACCGGCATTTTGTAGGGGCTTTGCTCAAGAGCTGCCGCCAGCAGTGAATTATCGTTGAGGGCATCGTGAGCATGCCGGAAACCGGACTCAATTCTAAAAAAAGATCGAACTCTGTAATGAAAAACACATTTCTAAATGACAACATACCCGACTGGAGAAAGAGATCGGTCCCTCTCAACTCTCTTAGCTTTTGGAGGGGTTAAAGAAAGGAATGCATCCACAAATGCACTTGGTAACAGATCCATAACCGGTATCTCTTTTGAAGGACTATATAAACTATCAGACCGAGGTCGCTGAAAGACGAAATTTCAGTAGAATTGGAATAATTTGCAGAAGATCGCATATTCTATAAAAGTATAGCGCAAAAACCAACCTTAGCAGCGCTATCACTGACCGACTCGAGCATGGTCTCACTTGACGGAAACGACGTTTGCATGAACTCTTCGACAGCAGAGGACCTCGAAACGAAATGAAGACGTTCGTCTACTGCTTCATGCTTCACTTCGGGTATATACAACTGGAATCTTCTGATTAGAGCTGCAGGAATCAGCGGATTGCCATTTGTACTGATAAAACGACCACAGGGGAACTATTGAATATTGGAATTAAGGCAACCACGACTTGAGACATTGAAACCAAGAAATTAAGTATCAAGAAATGAAAAGCTAAAAGAAGATCTGAAGAGGAGCACATGTAGAGGACTGCACAACTTTGAATCGACCTACATTTTGATTAACGACGATTTCTTCAGATTCCTTCGCTTGTGACTGCAACTCTTGCTTTACAATGTGAAACAAGTCCTTAATAAGACAGAACATCAGAAAATCAAAATCGTCAAAAACAAAACTCAGAAGCAAGTAATGAAGTTATCAAACCTGTGCTGCAATAGCATCCTCGTCGTACAGCTGATCGTCACTGTGTCGCAAGAATGACACCTAAAAGAACTCGTAGAGTATGAGCTGAGTTCCCCTCAAAGCTGAGGAAAGGCTATGGAAAACTACAGAAAAAAAAANAAAAAAAAACGAGTTATAGCCTAGAATTCGAGTAACTCGAGGCAAAATGCTATCACAATCCTAACTAGATACAGCGAGTCAGTGCGAATTTACAGACATGTGTATTGAGCTTCCACCCAGCCACTAACGTTGAGTGAAGGGTAGTAAGATTTTCAATTTCCAAAAATAAAAGTCGTTCGAAGTAGTACTTATGATATGCGAGCGCTAAGCCTTTGGAGGAAATTCGAAAGCAGAAGAACTAGAAAAGAATTATACGAAAAATCGATCTACCTCTCTTCGAGAGCTCTTTTCAACGGGAGCTGATTTCACGACATGTTTCGAGCTCCGCGATACTGGTAAACCTTTTGTACCTTCTTCGATCGCTTGGAGGTCCTCTGAAAACTTCGCAATTTTGCAGAACAACCGAAAAAATAATGGAACGCAGCCCTATCAACATATAAGTGAAGTACCTGGCCGGGCCATTCCTTCTGTCACGGAATCCGGGTTTCGCTCCCGCCATTTTCGAATGTCATTCTCAACCTTGTGTATGCGTTCCGGATTTATCATCCATAGACACGATTTTCGGGTTTGGTGCATTAATGGAGCATCTTCGTCAACCTTCAAAATGCAAACATTACAAACTATCTGATGACTAATGGTTATGAATTTGAGAATGTGAACAAAAGTCAAAGCCCGAAGACTTTGAAACATACGTCAACCTTGCAAAAGCATTTGTTCAAAGAGAGATTGTGGCGGACAGAATTTTTCCATCCATTCGGCGCAGTACGGAAATAAGGAAAATGTTCTCTAAAACAACAACGATAATAATCGACCCAATCCATAACAGGGGTAAAAGGCAGGATAGAAAAGAATGAGTTTGGAAAAAAATTCTCGATTTCAACTTACAGCATAAAAGCATAGATCTCCGAAACAGTCAGCTGCCCTGTCTCGCTATTTTTCAGGGCCAATGCGATCAGGTTTGAGTAAGACCATCCCGGTTTTGGGTATGGACTGCTATGAGGGATCTAAAACTGGCACGTTGTAAGACAGACAAGAGAGGAGAAGACAAGAAAGCTCACCTTCTCCTTCTTCACTAACTTTGGCCTAGACATCAAATCAACGCTAATATCTTCGGCAAATTTCGAAACATCAATCTGAACATGCGATAAACTCAATTAGAAGTGATTTCCAGGAACTAAACCCAAACTTACGCGGTCTACCCATTCATCAAAATCACAGTTTTCTTCGATGGCACCATAGTGGGTGATATCTTCGTCTACCCATCGTTTTTCTGGGTGGATACGGCTCACTCCACTGAAAATACTGGCTGGACTAACTCCTAATTTTCTATGGAAGATTGGGTTTCCAAAAGATATTCAGAGAAATGCGCAGCTGTGCAAATCACGACTACTCATATCTGTACTCAGAGATTACTAATTTTTTGATAGAACCTAGGTGGAAATAGAGCGAAAAGGGCCCTAACAATAAAGGAACGATTCTCGGCACCTAAGTCCCTTCATAGTCATGTAAGATCAACTTCAAAAGTAACAATTTTGGTGAGTATCTAAAGAGAAATATGAATTACCTCGGCCTTGCAATACTGGCCGTAATGCCGTACTGCGTTCCGGTTTTAACCGGCGCACTGGCAGTAGGTGGTTCCACACACACAGCTACACTCGAACGAATTTTCTCTTGCCCAGGGTTCAGTTGGTACTGCGACTGAATTTGTTGGCCGCTGCTTGCCTGCACAGTCCAACTATTACCTGCAAATTACTCAATCATCACTCTACCACGAGAGCATGAAAATATTGATGAAATAAGAAAAACAGAATAGGTAAAACCAGTTCGCTATTACTGATCATAATCCTAATTACAACATCACCATATATTTAAAAAATACCTCGCAGTATACTGCTTGCATAAGTGGTTGGACAAACTTTAACAGGATATTCAGCACGAATTTTTGAATTCACTGCTACTCGTGGCACCTCAAGTTCTTGAGACTGGTATGGCCTCTTCGGCCCTCTTAACGTATTGTCCAGTTTGTTATACACGGAAATTGAGCTGAAACATAATGAAGAATAGAAAAAGGTGGAATTACCTTGCAGAAAAAGTTCTATTTCAGTACGCCTGTCCAGCTCTTCAATAACCGTAAGTTATTTCAAACAGAAGAAATTCGTTCAAAAAATGGAGCAGACAAAACAACGAAACCAAAAAAGGAAAACGACTTCTGTAAGGGAAGCTAACCTCGTCGAAATTCGTACCGATTCCTCTGCACCGCTCCGACTGGGAATCATCCCTCTTGCTTCCTCCTTGGCGACATTCAACTGAGCATATCCGTCAGTCGTTACAAGCATTACACAGTCTGAAAGTATAAAACACAAATAATTACAAAACCACTGATACAAATGCAGAAAACTGTCGAGTAAAAGGAGCGCACGTTTGTGAAAGTAATCAGAGAAAACAAGGCAGTAAAACGTTAAGGGTATCGGCAGTGAGTGTTATAAGCCTCAGGCTTATTAGGTGACCAAAGCATAAAGCGAAGAATAGCAAAGTTAATGAAATTTCTTAAAGGAAAAATGATACACTAGCGCAAGACCTTCTAAAGTTTTCAAGATCGAAAATAAAAAAAAGGCTGACTACATTAATCCTGCTTTTTTCAACAGGACTACAGGCTCAGTCCCCGCTTTCTGACTTCTTTGTTATGGTGGGCACAAAGGCACAAATTTTAATTGTTCCACAAAACCGCTTAGCCGACCATGAATTCGATTTCATATTTTAAAACGGAACACTGAAAAATTAGAGCAGCTAATATTTATTTACTCATCTATTTATTTATTTGATTTTGAAATTAACGTTGGAAATCTTGAAAGAGCAGCTAATATTTACGTCTTCATTCATTCATTTGTTTGATCTTTAAAAATGCTCATTTTTATTACGAGTGTACACGGTATTAGAAAAAAACGAAGATTCATAAAATTTCAGTTTACTTAATATTACGGAAATTCTAGTAATTCAGCTGAAAAAAAACCGTGGTAATTTCTGTTTCAGTCGAGAGACCTTATTTGTAGGCCGGAAACAAAGAATAGCCATCAAAGTGATATCGTAAACTATCCGAAATCGAGAAAACATCAATGTCAAATGCAAAGATTGTTTCTGCAAAAATGGTTGCTCTAGAAAATCAAGTGTTTCAGAAAAAGAAATGCAATAACGTAAATATTTGCTATAAGTTATGATAGAATTATTAATAAATGATCTAACAAAACGAAGGATTGCAAAACAGAAAACGATAGAGAAAATAATAAGTGAAAGCCGAAAGTCGATAAAAACTAAAAAACCACTTTAAAACTATTTTCCCCGCAGCTCGAGAATCGATCAATATCCACTGAAACATTTTCGAAAATCACTACTTCTTATGACTCACCGCCCCCTTCGGTCAATATAAAAGTACTTTTGCACTTCTTACTTCTACAGCTAGAGTACAATGAAAAATCAATTATTGACGAGATCATAGGTATATTTTTGAAAAGGGAGAGTTCAAAAATAATTGTTATCAAACTAAACAAGTAACGAACAAAGTAAAATGAATGCCGTTCGAATAGATAATAAAAATCATTGAAACCTATAGTGCAAGCCCATCAACGAAAGATTAGATATGAGCGATTCAAATAAGGGGGACTCCCGCCGTGTTCTGTCGTCCTTGCGACCTCTGCAGTAAATTGCTGCTGACGGCTTACGACCCTCTACGCTGCGCCAACTGACATCGCATGTGGTGGCCTCGAGTAACCCGTTCCTACCAGTTTTATGTTTTCCAAGTATTTCCGTTCACATAAAGGCTCTTACGAAGTTGGAAGTAGAAGATTTGAATTCACTTTTCCTTCTTACAACCCTGTTTGGCTTATTTTGGAAACGAAAATCGGTTCTAAACATCACTCGTATAAACCTTGGTCTAGTTAGACATAATTTTTGGAAAGCCCTTGGAAGGCACAAACTTCAAAAGGTAACCTCCACAACCCACGCCCCCTGTCTTGGTAGTCGAAGCCAAATGTGTTCGACAGTTCTTCAATTAATTCTCTAGGTATTCATAGCTCACACTATCGCTTCACCAACTACGATGAGCAACAGGAAGTCTGCTAACAGAAAAAATCGTTATCTATTATCTATCGGTATTTATCGAAATTTATTTACAGTTGTACGCCTGGAACAAGGGTAGTCAATGTTCGACCAGACTGCCAACGTAGGGACATCTCCCGATCAGGGATCTATGTGCACCCACATCGATAGAAACAACTAGAATGAAGTCACATCGTCACGACCGTTGCCCACACAGATGCTGACGAAATGACACCGGTTCATTCGCGTTTAACAGGAGATTCTGCCACCAGACGTGTATTGCCACAACTTAGCATGCTAACAATGTGGTGTGTGATTACCAGTTAAATACGCTAAAGCCGAATATCACGAGCATCGTAGGCACATCTTGTCCTGACACGACGCCCTGAATATGCGGTATCGATCGCCGCACGCGTAGCTCGTGCGTCGCAACAACGACACCTTGGTCGCTATTAAAATACCGTTGACTATAAAATGAGGAGGGAACCCGTTTTAAAACCTTCACCGTAGCATGGTTCCAAAATAAAATGTGTTAGCCGTAGGATGGTTGCGGACATTGCGCAGGAGTCTACGACTCTGAAAACGTTGCTCTCCCTGCCCTTATTCCTTCGAGGTTGAAGTTGTACTTTGAAGGAGACCACTTGGTATGTAGATTCTTTACGTGAGAAAGTCAATGTGAGCAATACCTATTTATCAAATATTTCTTTGGGGACCTAGTTTGCGAGCGCCATAGGCGACTGCTGTATGGGCGTCGTGAACACACATATTAAGTTTTTAGGTTTTCTTTCTCCTCAATCTTGGTATTTGTAGGCCTTATAGTTGGGTTCCTGTTTCAAGGGTTGTGATGAGGGGGGGGGGGGGGGGGGGGGGGGG